TTTCAATAGTGCAAAATTAAAAGTTTCAAATAAGAGAAAACTTTAAATGCGTAAATTTCGAAAATTTTAAGAAAATATAAATATTTGAAAATCTCTAAAATAAATATCTCTAAGTAAAAATATTGTGTTTAATCTCAAAGAAGATTCGATAATAATTATCTAAGGATCTCAAAAGGAGATCAAATAATAATTATAATAATTATAATAAATGCCAAAAATATTGATGTACAAAGAGCAAAAAATTTCAAAAATTTCCATATCATAATTTAATAACATCGATTAAGTATCATTCGGAGAGGTCGCACGTGGGATTTCTCTTCAAGGATTCAATCATCGCAGAACGATCCGTACTTTTCGCGACCGCCATGCGTAAGGAGTCGCAGCGCGATAAATTATGCGTGTCCGGCGTCCCACGTGATTGTCGATGTGAACGCGGCCGCGATAATAAATAACCGTTGGCGAAAAAAGGTGCTGTACTTTATTCCGCAGCAACGATCGCTCGAACGGCTCCGTCCACAACAGAAATAAATTTACATTCTGGCAAATTTCATCTCCACAAATTTAATATGATTTCCGTCCCTCTGATCCTGATGCACTGTTTTCGAATTTTTTTGAAACTTTATTTTTTTCCCTCTATATTTTTTTTGTAAAAAGTAAATTTTTTTCTAGAGATTTAGAGATTTTCAAATATTCATATTTTCTTAAAATTTTCGCATTTTTTAAAATTTTATGGGACACGCTTTATGAAAGTTCTTGAGGCGTTTGGTCTTGATATATTAATATTGAAACCGGAAGTGATATCTATCTTGCATCTTCACGGTAACATTAAAATTTCAGATTCTTCTATATTTCGATTTTAATATATTTAATATATATTATACCTTTAGAAATTCTTGCAACTCTGTGTTGTGCCATTCACGGCTCGATTAACAGCAAATGCGCATCTCGCGAGCGACGCGGATCGAAGCACGACGAGGGCTTGAGAAAATATATAGCGAGAAGAGGAAGGAGGCGCAAAAAGAGAAAGAGAGAAGCAACGGAGAAAAACAAAAGGGAAAGAAGAAAGAGAGAAACGTTGAGTTCAGGAAGCTCTCGCTTCCTCGGCGTGCAACGATCTCTTTACGGCCAGGCAATTTTTATGACGAAGCCACCCGGGCGGGCCGAGGTAACACGCGAGGTGACGAGATGCTTTCGACATGTAATACACGATAATACGCGGCGATATTCGCATTCTTCTCTCGGAAAAGAGAATGACTCGTCAAGAGTCCTTCAAGGGAATCCTCGACACGCATGGCGCCAATCTTTGGGAATAGTGGTCCTGTCTCTTCATCCTTCAAATTAATTATAAATCATGTCTTCTTTGAAATTTTTCCGAGAGATTCTTTCACAGAATATTGCTTGCGGATTGTTCCTGGACATTCTCAATGGAAAACGCGATAAGCTACATCATTAATCCCCCTTTCCCCCGAAATATCCAGACGGATGTTACGGAGAACTGACGTTCTCGACTAATAACACCCGCGGTCGTCGCAAACGCAAACGAGCGCGCATGCGAAGCGGCGAGATAAGGCACAAGGCTTTGGGCTAAAAGCGTGTCGTGACGGGATGTCTATGCCATTCCATCCTCGGCGGGATTCGCGTGCACGAGTGCGCGACGTGTGAATGCGAGAGCCCCCTCCTCCCGATGAGAAAATCGAAATCGCGATAACGAAAAGTCCTCCTCCATGATACACATCGAAGAACGGGACGAGGGTAAAATGCGAGAGACGAAATTGCACTCGGCGCGAAATTGAAAAAGTGAAACGTCAAAGCTGTCACTTATTATTTACTCGAAACTTGGGGGATGAACGCGACTGTAATTCGACAAATCTGACGTCTCCCTCGCGAATCATCCTCTCTCCTCTTTCTCGCAAATAAAACTTATTTATTTATGTTATTACGCTATTAAGATCACATCGGTTACCTAACGAACCGAGTCGCCGAAAGTGACGAGCGCTGGCTAATTTAGTTTCTCGAACTGCACGCATGCAGTTTCTCGTCCTTCCGTCCTCGCCTCTCGACAACGAGCGAGCACGCGTCCGACGAAACCAGCTGCTTATCCCAGGATCTCGGGTTCACCCTCTCTAAGATCGGCTAGTGCGATTTTGGAAGAGTCGCAGCGAAGCAGGGGGGGAGGGAAGAGGCAGTTCCCGAAATTGCGACGGAACGAGCGGCCGAGTTATGTTCGTTCGCGACGATTTTAAGACGATAAGACATTAAGGAGACACCGATGAAGCCACATAATTGATGAGCTCGTGGCGTGACGACGCCGCAATGGCGGACACCGAAATTAAATCTATATAATGCACAGGGAGAGACGTCTGGTGCTTTCTCTCCGACTGCCGTAATTTACAAACAGTGGAGAATTAAAATCTTTGCAATATCTGCAGCGTCACATTAAAGGGTTATGCCCAGTCATAAGAGTAAAAAGAGCCGATTTTTACATTTTCTTAAAGTATATCATATTGAAAATATTTCCTAAAGTTTTAAATTAATCGGATGCAAATTGACGGAGTTATAAGTGTATGTTTCATGAAGCGCCAGAATGTATTTGTTTAAACACGACTATGAAGCTGCAGCTCTGATGTTTTGAGGGTTGGTCAAGCCAATATATAAAGACTTAAATAAACTAAAATTATATGGCTCCGGAATAGATGATTCTGTGTAAATTAAAAAATCTGCATTTTATTTAAAAGTAAACTTGACACAAATCTTAAACGCGTTTTTCTCGAAATCACTTTTTCAAAATTGGTCAGCGAGATATTTCAAAAACGATTACACCGATTTGCTTGAAATTTTACAGGCTTCTTCTATATAAAAACCTAGATGAATGAGGGATTTTGTTTTTTAATGAATACTTTTTTTTACTTAATAAAAAATGAGCAATTTTTAAGTCGAAAAAGAATATCTTAGTGTCAAATGGTTGCCATTTTGTCCCAAAACAATTTTTCTATTAATCCCTTGTTCATTTATTAGACAATTTCATACATTAACTACAGTTTATCGAATTTTTGATATCAACTTCGAAGCACTCATCGCACAGCGCTTTTTAAAAAACAATATCCGAGAGAATAATTATAACTTTTACATTTTTTAATATTCCATTAAAAAAAAATATATAATAACATTTTTAATATTTGTACTTTTGAATAAAAATTTATTTGTAAAAAAAAAATTATTACACTTTAAAAAAACATTCCTAAACATACTTTTTTCGGTCTGCTGACTAGGCATAACTGCTTAAGCAAGTACAAGTATAAGAGTCAGAAGGTATCTAGATAATATCTATTTAATTATCTCTATTTTCAATTATATTTAATAGTTTTAAAAAAATATTATTCAAAATACTCAACAAAAAAATAGCTAGAGAAATCGATTAATTGCTAATAATCAATAGAAATATTCTGACGAGATCACGACGATCGAGTGTACTTGGAATGACGCCGAATGTGCGACTCGCATGCAACATCCACGTCCACCGCCCCCCGAAGTAGATCGACGGTGATTTACTTATCGACAATCAACACTTCGCCGGAGGTAAATGGTCGAGTCGTGACCATTAGTCCGCGAAGCGTGTACGTATAGACTTGGGCCGAGAAGCGACAATGTTACATACGATCGAGACTGTGTGTGAGGCCCGGTAGGATCCCGACACGACGCCAATCGGCCTTGCATAACGATGCATAACGATGCATCTGCAGCGGCTGTCAATACGAACTGCATTCGGCCTTGGCTCGTTTTATGTTATTCATCAAATACTTTCGAGAGACTGACGAAAGTTACTTTCACTAGGCTAAGAATCATACATATAGGATTTTCAATTGCTTAGCCCTCGATTTTCTCACGTTTAGTTATCAAACAGATGTCTTCCGACACCTGACCAAGTTATTAATACTTGTCAAAGCTATTCTCATAAATGCAAATTAAAATTAACTGAAATTTTTTGCTAATCTTCTATTCCTTCTTTTTTTTGGAAAAATTAAATATATATTTTTATCTCAAAAATTTGAAGAAAAATTCTGAAGCAATCTATATTTTATGTTTAGAGAAAAATAACTTTGTACGAAGGGAAATCAGTTGAAAGATTACATTTTGTTTTGATTTCCAGCTACTTTATTCTCGTTTTTCTCATGATTAGTTATCAAACGTCTTCGGATATCTGGACTAGTTACTGTCACTGATAAGCAAAAAGTTGTTTGAAATTTTTAACTAATTTTCTATCCCCCTTCTTATTAAAAAAAAAATATATATATATATATATATATATATATTTCTTTTTGAAAAGTTAAAAAAAATTCTTCGCATATTTCTTCCTCGGAGAAAAACAACCTCGCGCGAAGAGAAATCAGCTCGAAGATTGCGTTTTGCATTATCCTTCGTAATGCAGCTCTATCAGCGCAATTTTTAGCTATTTGCCGGCATTCGCATAACGACCGAAACGACGAGCGCAGAAACGCGAATTACGCAAGAGGCGGCGCGACGCATTTTCAGAACGACTCTTTAGATCTTCGGCCATGGACTCGCAGAAATTACTTCGCGCTTGACTTGCTCGCGCAAACAGTATGACTTTCATTGTAACGAGCCGCGGCCTCGTCCCGTCGAAATAGGACAAAATTGCTAAGCAATCGATGAGCTCAAGGAAATTCGCCAAGGAAAAAAAGCTAAGATTTCAATGAAATGTCAGCTCTCGCTTTTACGAAGAAGGGTATTAAACGGCTCTCAAATTAATATGACGCATACTCTTAAAATAACGCGATTTCGAATGATCGAGCAGCGATTTCATATCTTCTTCTACGAATCGATTTATGCGAGCTCAGCCGATATTTTTATCTCGTAAAAAATCGATTGGCGTAAGACCAGCTTATTGCATTCTTTTCTCCTCTTACGTCACAAGATAGAAGAGCTAATCGAAAAGATAAGGCTGCGCGTGTGCGTTCATTCAAATCTAAATGCTCGCTCACCGATAATAGTCCTTCTTGCAATAGATGTTGCCGTCACGGCTGAAGCACGTGATCTCCCCGTCGAGACCCTGACGGCAGTGCGAGCATTGGAGACACGCGGCGTGCCACCGCCTGTCAACCGCCTGAAGATAGAACCTGTCGGATATCCTGAGGCCGCACCCTGCGCAAACCACCCCGGGAACGTCCTCGGATTGCGCGGGCGGGGTGGGCGGCGGCTCGAGCTTGGGGACGGCGTGCAAATGCTCCGTCGTCGTCTGCTGCTCCTGCGTCTGCAGATGGGGATGATGGTGGTGATGATGATGATGGTGATGGTGCGCCGTCTGCGATGGCATGCTCAGGTCGTTGGCGTTCTCAAAGTTGCCACCCCTGTACTCCGGTCCACCCGCTGAAACGATATGTCAGGATAATCAATCAATTTTAGCTTCTTTCTAAAAGGATATTCCTTTATCTTTGTTTTATAGAGTTCTTATATTACTTTCTTATATTACTTGATTTGACTTTTGAATCAGCGTGGGCCAAAAACCGGGGGAAGAAAGAAAGAATATTTATTGTTAATATTCGTCTTGCTCATTTTACTCCTCCGTATTTTATTTTCTTTTCTTTTTTTTTTGACGGATAATCCTACCTCCGGGAGAATCGTAGTCCCGCGACTCATAAGGGGTGGTCGAACTGTCGTAGCAGTTGTTGTTGGTACCGCAGTGGGTCTGATGCAGGGGCCCGTGATGATGGGCGGCGGGAGGGCTGCACGGTAGAGTGGTCGGTCGCGCGGCATCGCCCATCGACGCGGGGAGGCAGGGGCTCAGATCTCGCGCCTGGTCCACCGCACCGGGTCCCCCCGCGTTACCTGGTCCCCCTTGGCGCCCCACAGCCAAGCCGCTGCCACGCTCCTGCGTGCTGGGCGGCTGCTGGAACAAATCGACATATCGACGCTTTTAGTTGGCGCATCGAAACGGCGCGCGTGCTCGTGAAAGTCGGAGCCGGTGCGTACGAATGGGACGAGAATTTTTCCTACGTTCGGTGAAAAATTTGTCTTATTCTTTCTCGAAACTGAGAGCATTTTCTCTCTGAATAATTATATTATTAGTATTGTTAAGAACAGTTTTTCGCAATTTATATTCCTTGCATACATAATTTGAGTAACATACATAATTTAAAAAATAACGATACATAATATCAATGAAAAAATAGATTAAAATTAAAAAAATGTTAAGAAGCTTGGAGACCAAACGGACCAACAGAAAAATAAAAAAAATCTGAGAAAATTTAAAGGAAAGATTCGATAAGAAATAAAACGAAATAAAGGTATCGAGACAAATAGGAAGAGGAGAAAGATGAAAAAGGATTAAAGGAACCAGCGGGGACAAAGAAGAGAGGAAGCGAAAGATCCGGGAGAAGGAGACGCGGAGGGAGGACGATGGTGGACCGATCGGACGAAGCTGGCAAAGTGACGACGGGCTGCAACCGCCGCTGTCACCAGAGGGAAGAAACGTGCGAGAGAGAAAGAGCGATACACCGGCGATGGTAGTAGCCGGTCGTCTCTGATGGATGTCGTAAGCCGCAGCGTGCATGTGCCCGACCCTATAAGGTACCCGAAGGCGGCCAATCCGAGTAACCGCTGTGTGTTTCAAGTGTTCAACGCACCCGCCGATGTTGCATAGACATAAATTACGAGCCGCCTCCTCTTGTCGTCTCTCCCTCTCTCTTTTTCTCTCGATAATTCACGATTTATTTATCTATTTACTCTTGATTTTTAATATTTCTGTCGAATTATAAATCCTTCGAAATCAACAATGCTCGAGCACAGCCTCCATAAATCTTTCTTTCAACTCTTTCAAATCTTTCTCTTCTTTCAAATCTTTCTTTCTTTTTTGAAAGATGCCTTTAAAAATTATTTTAAAGGTCCCTTTATATGTATGTTGATTTTTTAAAAAAATTTTCAAAACAACTTTCTAAAAGTTCGTCAATAATTCTCGAGTACACCCTCAATAAATTCTTCTTTTCAAATTCTCCTTTTGAAAATCCCTTTAAAAATATTTTCAAAGATTTATATGATATGATTTATATAGATTTTTAAGGAGATTTTTTCAAGAAAAAAAAATTTTTAAAAGAAAATATTTATTACTCGAAAGTTGTTGCTTTTAAAAGATTTATAATTCAAAAGAGATAAAAATGAAGAATATTTGTATAAATCTCTCTAAAAATCTACACAAAATTTGTAAATAATTCCACTTTCCAATAATCCTCATACGTTTTCTATGAAAATTTGTGCTTATAACAAACAGAAGCAATTTTCCTGCCGCGCAGTCAACTAATAAACGTAAACGAGACAATCCGCTATGAGTCGCAAGGAGTAAAGTTCACGTAGAACGATCATATCGTTCTAACTGCCGCGAGGAACGTGATCGGAATCGCTAATTCTACCCCAACTCTACTTCACCGTCTCGCCTTCGCGTAGCGCGACGTAATCTTTACGTGCGCGTTGTTGCCCCTTATGTAACGGGGATCGGGTCGGAACAAAGGTATTGCAGGAATGCACCTTCCTCGAGAAGGTACATGCGTACGTCTATCCTGCGCATTCTCCATCCTCTATCGCGACGAACCGTCGTCGCGTGCGGTAATAACGACTCGTTAAGCTCAAAAGAAGCATCGCGAATTATTTGCGAGACGGAGTCGCAATTCTTGCGGAAATCCTAATATGGTACTTATAGACGAATCCAACTGCCTGATGACGGATAATGAGAGCGAATCATGTTTGTTCCGGGATGACGTAAAAAAAATCGTCGAATCCCCGAATGCAAAATCGATCGCGATTCTCGACGAGACAATCGCGCGACAGAACGGCCAACGTGATCGGCCGATAAATCTCTCACGAGAGCGGCGAACGTGCGCGATCGATCCTCGAGATCCTTATCCATCTCGAGAGCGGTCCGGCAACGAGACTCTCGCAGACTGCAAAGAGACTTTCACCGGCGGCGAAGCTTGCACAAGAGTGCGCTTGCCTTCCCTTTTTTTTTCTCCTCCTCGTCTCTCTCTCTCTCTCTCTCTTTCTTCCTCTCCTCTCATTTTCGCGAAACCGCGGAGTAAATAACGCGTGCGTGGAATCCGCGGTCGCGAGATGCCGAGACGGAAACGAGTAGAATGTCGCCAGAAATGTTGCTCGGCTGACGAACTCGGTAGAAACTCTCGACGTCCTGTTCCCTACCTGCGCGTGAATCTGCTTGCTGCCTTTTTTTCAATGCATATTCCGAATGCAACGCGATAATTGAGGGAGAATTTTTTTACCGGAGCGCAAAAATTTTCGTAATGAAAGAAAAATATGAGAAACAGCGATTCAGTAAAAACATGCGTGCGCGTGATGATTTAGTAGCGTATTTGCGTGTTGATTTAATTTCTTTTTTAAATGAAAACATTGATTTTATCTAAAATTCAAATATCGTTCGAGTGTCATTAATTTTAAAATCGCGAAACAATAGACAAGGGAAATAGCATGAAAAACACACATTAATTAAATTTCTTAAGAATTATGAATTTAAATTTTTTTAAAATTAGGAACTTAATGCTGTACTATTTTTACGCTTATGTTTTGAATTTCAAATGCCTTTTTCAGCGATAAAATGCAAATTACTAAATACAATGACTTTAGCTTCTTCGAGTTCTTTTCGAGAAGATCCGGTATTAAACAACAATCTAAAGTGTTAACAAAGGTTGCACAGCTGATGAAAAATGAAGTCGTCGTATCGGTCACGAACGGTAATTTGTTTGAAAATGCAAGACCGAATGCGATCCGAGCTACGGAAAAGCATGCGCGATAACCTTACGTCACGACCTACCGAGATACAGCGCGTTATCGCAGCAAATTGTAACTCGGCTCTCCTTTTTTTCAACGCACGAGTCCGAAGAAGCCCGGCTGAGTCAGCGAAATTTCTTTAGGCATCGACAACGATGGACAAAAAGTTATCGGGATAACTCGTCGTCCTCGATATCGATGGCAATGTCGCCGACTTTGGTGGAGCTCTCCGAGAGATTAACGCAAATCTCGATACATTAGACCGTAAAGTAAAATATCCTTAAATATAAAATTCTTTTACGATTAAAACAAGTCCGGTGATTGTGAAACATTCCGTTTTTTTTTTAGCGAAGATAGGGAAAATACGTCCCTCATAAATTAAGGAATTTTTCTGAAGAAAATATTTGAGAAGCGAAAGTGATATTTTTGAGGGATTCTGTTGACAAGAATCCGATAACCCTTCCCGAGAAAAATGTTAAAACTAGGAGCGCGTGACGTTTTATATACTGTTTGGTAGCCCTCGGTGGCTTACGCAAAGAGTGGCACGTGTAGTGATATCAGCTTCCCTTGCTCAGCCAACGATAGCGATAACAACAAACAGCCTCGTCCATCGCGTCGGCCGCGATTTCTTTCTCTCTTTCCCTCTTTCTCTCTCTCTCTCTTTCTTTCTCTCAAAACACGCGTGGGCGACGCTTAACATCGCGGAGAGCCGATAAGCTGCTCGGCTATCTGCACTTCTCGGGGTCGCCATTGCTACCAATCGAGCTGACCAGAACTATTGAATAGACCCGCTACCATCAACACACAGCATCTCATCGAGATCTCTTTCTCTCGATCGGAAATATTATTGGGTTGAGTCATAAATAATTTTCGGCGGTAGCAAACATGTATCCTTCCAAGAGATCCCAGATGAATCACGCTGGCTTTTGCATTTCATTTCTTTCGGTTTCTTATTTTCAAATCGATATTTGAAACATGGAAATTATGGTAAAAGTGGGATTTTTTAAAATGGATTATATGGTAGAAAACTTAAAAGTATGTATTCGCCGTATGTGATGCCTCGAAGAATCGAACAAGAGAAATGCTCGACGACGGTTGAAAACATGTGTAGTAGTTAGATTTATGAAAGAATATGGTCTGGAAATTTCTGTCCCAAAGGCATAAATTTAAAAGCGGCGAGTCACTTTTCTAATTTTGGCGATGATATTTTAAAGATGCCAGAGGAACTCCATATCAAACAGCCATGAAAAGCTAAACACGTGCTATCATTTGGAAAAATTAAAAAGATATAAAAACTAAAGTTATTTATGATTTAGTCTAATAAAAAAAGTGAAACGAAGAAATACATATCCGCTCGAATTTTAGAGCTACAGCACAAAAAAAGAAATACCTCTCTCCAAACCTTCATATTTTTTTTTATCCATCGATTTTTAATAAACTGCAGCTTCCTGCTGCAAATTTATAGAATAATATAAATAAGTAATTTGCTGAATGCTTGACAGATTAGGTAATAAATATCATGATTTAATGCTGCGAGAGCTTAATTTATTCGGACGATTTTCGGCGGATTTCCTGCGTATCATAAGATATCTCCTTTGATACTATTTTCTAAGCCAAAACGTTGTCTCTTTACAACGGTGACGTTTGAACGACGTCGCAAATTAGTCGGATCGTTGATTCGCGCTCCACTTGGAAGATATTATTAGACCGCTTCCTGAAGAATATATCGAAAGTACATCGCGCAAATTTAATTTCACATGTACACGTGTGTTGCCAATTTCATGTATAAAATATCCCGCATGAGAAGAATCAATTAATAATTTCAACAGATTGTTCATTTATCAAGCGACCCATACATTAATATCGATGCTTTCTCATGTCGAGTTCCTCTTTATGTATAATATCGTTCATTACTAAAATCTCTCTTTCCCTCTCCCTCGGAAAATTCAAGAACTCCTGTACGAATAATTTTACATAATTTAATATACGTCATATCTTTGCAAAAATAATCGATTATATTTATTTTTTATCTGTTCGCTTTACATTTAATCTGTTCTTTATCTGTTTCTCATTCTCATTTATAATCGATAAAAATGGCTACGCGAACGAGTTACATAAATCACGAACTGAAACGATGCGTGCATAAATTATTTTCAAAGCTGATTCCGCGATATATGAAGCGCCTGAAAGAAATAGTCGGTACCGCAATCTCGAGATTTAAATACGCCTCCTTCTCTCCCTTCCTCCCTGCTTTACGATCAGCCCTAATAAACGAAGTTTTGTTGACACGCTGGAAGCGGCGAGTGTCGCATGCCGAGGAGGCCAAGAATCGCGACCTGACCCCGGGAGATTATCGGTCTTCCCTCGGGTGGGCATCATCCTGCTTCTCGCATTCCGCAAGAATCGTTGAGCAACTATATATATATATATATATATATATATATATATATATATAAATATCGTATAGTTTAATTATATTAAAATATTTCAACGATACATATAAATATATAAAAGACAAGTGCATTTCGTTCTTGTAATAAACAAGTAGACTTCTCCCTAGAAGAAAATCTTGACAACTAAGCTTCAAAATTTTTTCAATTTTTTCGTGCATTTATTTGTCGCAAAATATTAATTTTACCAAAAATATAAAGAATTGAATAAATTAAGATAAATTTTATTATGTTTTTCTGAGCAGAAGATTCGCGTTAGATGATTGGCAGGAAAATATCGCGTGGAGAAGCACCTAAAATGTATGAAAGGAGATTCGAGTTTAGGGATTCAATGGAAGAATCTTGTTTTGTGTGTGCCTAATTATACTTTATACGTATCTAATATCTCGTTGAATTTAAATGTCTCTTCAGCGCAGATTTGCGTGCGGCTCATCGACGCCATTCAATGCGCGCTTGCATGCTAAATGATTCCGGCACGCGAACATGGCACCTAAAATCTGACTTCCCTCTGATCGGGGTAAATTAAGTGCGATGCGTGACACGACACGACAATCGGCAATCGAGAGAGTACTATGCGATAATCGCATTAAATCCCCCGTGTAACCGCGACAAATTTTATTAACTTTTAACACTTTAAGTTCCTCGGCGTGACTGGATTTTTATAAGGAAATTAATTTTCTTCTAATTATAAGATTTACGCAATTTAATTCGAGTCAATTTATCATTCATCTATCGAATCGATTTATCATTCATCCATATCTCGAAACTTAATTCGCTATTAATTTTCAACGTCACGTATCTTTATGATTCATCGAATTATTTAAACAAACGACGCTTGGTCCCCATTTATCTTCTCTCTAATATCTGCAATTAATTACAAGCAATTCGTACAGGATCTTCTCGCTTACCTTCATCGCGTCGACGCTATTTGTCGCTTCAGCGTGTTTTTCCCTTTTTTGATATTTATCGACGCACGTTTTCAAGAAATCACATCAGGAAAGTATCCCGCTAGAAAATCGAATCGAATTTTCGAACATGCGAACGTACGAACACTCGGATTGAATGTTTTTAATAATCGAGTGGATGGCTTTTTATATGGAATTTTATATTTATCACGTTGATATGCGACACACACACGCATAATTCGCACACAAACGATATCCGAAATATAAAAAAGCAACATGTTTGAGAGCCATCTTCTCTTAGTTAACTATCACGAAATATCACGATGACATCATCCAATTTATAAAATTATTTTAATCTTAAATTGCATGTACTCGAGACACGTGCACCAATTCTGATATCGAGAGGTATCTCAGAACGATTGCAGCTTTTTTATTTTTAGGAAAATATGCACGTCTAATCGTGCGGGATTATGTAACGTCATGTTTAAGAATTTTGTCAAATGAAGTGTGTTAATATTGACAAGTTGCTTTGATATTACACACGCACGTGCAGTTAACTTGGCGTTTACAAAGACTTTGCTTGCGAGAGAGAGGAGTCTCACGAGTGTCTTTTTTTATTTCTTTGATCTATCGCTTAAGAATTCCATCGAACGCTCATTTCTCCTTCCGACACCCGATATATCCGTTTATGAAATAACGGATAACGAGACGATAACGTCGACAACAAGTGTAGCGATGAGGCGGACCAGGTTGGGGCCTCGAGTGCAAAGTTAAACGTCGGACATTGGGCCGGGGACGATAACTGCCGGCGACGGACGGCGGCGGATGTAATCTCGGCATGTAATAAATTACACGCGCGTCACAAGCGCGGTGCTATCACGGCCAGACATTCGCAATAAGATGGCCTTATCTCATCGAAGCTGCAGAATCCTCGTCCTCCCTCTCTGGCGAGCGCTTCGCGTTTGAGAAAAGCTCGCAACAAAGTTCGAGTGCGCGCTCTAAGAGACTAATTGACGCCAAATCGAACGATATAGCTGATATCGTTTATGCATTTTTCCAAATCGCGGATTAATTTTGTGCAAAGCGTCTGTGGAATGCATGGAAACGTACATTTAATTCTCTCTGGTATCCACAACACTTATCGCAAGTCTAATGAAACCTTTAATCATAACGTGATAGGTCCATAATATGTTTCCATTTATTTCTATATCTAGAAAAATTATTTTAAAGTAAATTACCGAAAGTAACCTTCTGTAATATAAACTCAAAAGTAGCTTTTACAATCATTTCTTATGTTTACTTTGATTAAAATGATTAATCAAAATGCATTATCCATCTAAAACTAAATTAATTCTGGTTAATAATTTAACTTTTTATCTAATTTTAATATACTAAATTTATTTATGCGTTATGTTAAGAAACTTTTGAAAGGAAGAGAAAAGAAAGAGAAAGATAAAAAAATTGAGAACATATCTAGTCCATGAAATTTGATATTGTGATATCTCTAAATATATATATATATATATATATATATATATATATATATATATACATACAATATTTCCGCCTTCTCAAGGCAAAACGGAAGCTGCAGCCTCTCGACAAAATAAAGAGCTCCTATTTATCATCTGAATCATTTTCAAAAAATTTATTTATTTATATAAATTTAGTAAGATTTTAATTGTACCAAGTAATTGTTTGAAGTAAAAGGCGAACCGATAAAATGTGAAATATATAATAATAATCATAATAATAATTCATAAAAAGCGCGACATTGGAAAGAGATGAGCAATTGTCGGAGATTTTCGAAACGACGTGAATACCTTTGGACGGAGATTAATCAATGGTGGATCGTATAACGATATAAAAGGAAAGAACGTTGTGTTACTTTTCGTTAGCGCAATGTTACTTTACGTTCGGCTCCGTTCATTGGCGCACGTGATTAATGCGCCGGTTTAATTAATCGACGACAAGGGACAATCAATTACATTTGTTTACAAGCGGCACTCGTTACTTACGACGGCAGTCCCGGCCGGTTGATTAAGAGCAAATTAATATTACTCCAAGGTAGACTGTGTTATCACACCTTGCCACGTAATCCTGCGTTACTTTCAATTATTGAATAATTTGCGACCGCTTATACTGACTTTTTACATTAGTGAACATTAGCTGCCGATTGCATTTCAACATTTCGCTTTGGATCTCGATACATTCGAGTATTATGTGTAATGGGTGATAAGCAGATTTAGATTTAATTGGAATTGTAATTTGTTACTAATGGATTCCACAGCGCTGTTATTATCAAGTAAAATTACGAAGCTTGTAAATTAATGAAATAAAAAGCGTTTCGCAGCCCGCTCCCTCTTCACCGTCCATCCGTCGCATATCAGGATTAGCACCTGAACTAGATCGAACTGATTCTTGTAATTCATTGTAATCGACAAATGTCATATTAATCACTTACAATTTTACATTCTAGCTAAGCAACTTTGTTTTTATTTTATCATATGTTATCGTCTGTCTGATTCACTCTAATAGTTCCATTAGTGATCTGACACATTGGACATAATTAAAAAAACAAAGGAGAAAGATTATTCGAGGATAAATTTTAATTCTTAATCTCTCTCTAATATAAAAATTCTCGTAATTCATTGTAATCGGGAAATGTCATCATATTGATCACTTACAATTTTACATTCTAGCTAAGCAACTTTGTTTCTATCTTATTATACGTTATCGTCTGGTTCACTCTAATAGTTCCATTAGTGATCTGACGCATTGGACATAATTAAAGAAAAAGGAGAGAGATTATTCGAGGGTAAATTTTAATTCTTAATCTCTCTGTAATATAAAGATCCTCGCGTTATCAAAATTCACCCTGTCCGATCCATCAGGCAGTCCGCAAGTCGAGCCTCAGTACTTGAAAAAAATTGACAAACCCACTATCAATCTCCGAGGAATTTATTCGTCCTCAGCCCTACATTCACCATCTTGAATTCGACAGGGAGAAATATTTGCGGAGACGCTTATCGCCATCCGACTCGCGATCCGAGGGAGCGAGGAGCTCTTCCACCCCGATGGAATGGAAGAGCAGCTGGCGCGAAACGACCAATGGGCAACACGGACACGGGGATGACACTCACCCAGTGCATGCCGGTGGTAGGAGGGGCGCGCTCCTCATACACTCCCATCAGGGTGGCCGCTGTCGCGGGGTAGTTCCCGCTGAGGGTGCGCGACGCCGATGTTGCTCGGGGGGGAGTCCCGAGGGATCCGCTTGCCGATAACGCGGAGATGGCGTCCGCTGTGGCTCGGGTTCTCTCTTCCTTCCACCTCTACCGCGCGTTCACCCTCGTCCTCTCTTCTCTTTCTCTCTATCTATCTCTCTCTCTTTCTCCCTGGCGTTACTCCCGCGACACTCCCGATATCACACTAGAGACGTAGAGGGAAAGGAGGAGGGTGAATTCCTCCGTGAACTTAGGATAGTCGAGGGAGGAGCCCTTCACGAGTGCATCTCCTTCATCGGGTCGACGACAGTGTCTCCGCGAATTATTATTATCATCCGCGAGCAACACCCATGCCACTTCACAAATCAGCACTGAGGTCCGCTATTGTCATCGGTGACAGTCCAGTGACTCGTGATTCGCGGTCCATATCGCCCCGGCGCACTGCGATGTCTGACGACGATCGAGAAACACCCGCACTAGAACAGTCCCACAGGTCACTCCGCGAGTCGTAGGACAATTTGAGGACCGATCATCCCACGCCCTCAACCGTTGACACTCGGAGGAACGTTCAACCTGCGCAGGGATGATCTCCCGGGTCCATGTGCTCCGCAACGAGACGCGACGGCGAAACGGAGCGCCAGACGAGGGACCAACTCGGCTGCGCCTGACCAAGGTGAATGCGGACGATTCCGACGAGTCGGAGCCGCGATACGGAGTGACGATGCCGGCGAGACCTGACTCCCCCAGTCCCGATTATGTTCGAGGCAGCGCCGTCTGGCGTTGAAGCCAACATCAACCTGGCAACATCATGAAATGCAGTGGGTCTCAGGTCGCAAGCAAGTCACACCCACGGCACCCCATTCGTTGGATGGCATGTTGGTCCAGCCCATTCGCAAACTTGCTCGCGCTGTGATGAAGTTGCGTTGTTCACTCTCGGCGAACGGGTTTGTGGGGAGAGAGTGGGCAAAATGAGGGAAGAACGGTGGAGAGAAAGAGAAGTCGACGCCGCTGCGTCTCGCATTGTCGTAACCTCTGGAGTAATCATAAATTGTGCGTAAGGGAATACTATCTCTTCCTCCTCGAGACTAAAAGAAAAATGAAAGAAAAATCCCTTTTCCTTTGTCAAGAAATGACATCTATCAGAAGGCGAGCTTTGGGAACGAAATTGCCGACATCTTCTACAAATGTCTTGCAATAAAGTTGTACAGAAAATTCCCATATAATACTAAACTTGAAAAGAAAAGAAAATTTTAACCATACAGATAGATATCTATTTTATATTGGCGTTTTTTCTATAAATATATTTTCCAAGATTTAGTTTGTAGCCTAGCAATCTTAATATTGTCCTAGACTTATAGAGAAATATGGAGAATTATGAAAGTTATATCCAAATATATAAAATGTATAATGATGATACCAAGTATCCACTAACATTTATACCAAGCGACAATTAACTATTACTATTTGGATGTACAACTTGATAATTTTCAATAAACACAGTGATTACTCTTCTTTGATATTGCATCATCAATCATTCATAATTTATTATAACAACTCTTTTGCTTTTCGAGCAAATTTTTTCGCACTTTTGGAAAAGACGGTGATTATTATTCTCTGTTTCAACTCTGTAATCTTTTCATCCCTCGTTGTTGTGTTTTCCTCAAAAGCGACATGGAGATGGAGGAAGAAGACGACGACGAGGATGATCTCCGAACCAACTGAAAGACCGTAGGGCGACCGTCCGATATCCCGTCATAAAGAGAAACCGGTTTCGTCACGACGTAGACGGAAACCGTCGCTCCGATCAGAAATTCCTGGCGATGTGCTCGGCGTGTCCCCCGATGATGGAATTTGCGAAAACGGTGTTTCGCGCGTTCCTTTGACTCGCGTTATCATCATTGTGTACCCACGATCGTCTTACACGGCGTGATTAAATTGAGTATTTACAATGGAAACTCACTTATGGAATGCAGAAGCTTACTCCTGGCAACTGCCGATGATCCTGTCGCTCTGCGTAGTTAAATTCTACAGCGAGATGTGTCATTAATAAGGAGCGATTTTGTAGAGAGCTAGCGTGCAAATTAAATATACTCCTGGGCAAAATTAACGTATAATTATTTTTTCACTTTTTCTTTAAAATTTTTCGTTAAAATTGAAATATCAGCAATATTTTAAAGAAAAAGTGAACAAAAATTATGCGTTAATTTTGTCCAGGAGTATATAACATCAAGAAGGAAGAAAAAGTAAAAGATTGAATGCCATCATCAATTAAAAAATAATTATATAATAAATATACAAATAATAAATCCGTCGATATTTTTGTCAAGCTTTTTGCAGACATATTAAAGTTTTCATTTTTTTGATAAAAAAGTTATATTATGATTTTTACATCTTTTTGCACAGTAGACATGTTTAATATATACATATATATTTCTTAAGATATTTTTGTTTACTTTTATTAAATATAATTCAGCTTCTTATTATGTTTTTCACAAAACGTTACGCCTTAAATAATAAAATAATCAAAAAATACGCGCGCAGATATTTGAAATTTCTCCATTATTTTCGGCATTTCGCCTCCACAGACGGAAGTGGTATGCGAGCGATAAACCGCAAAGCAGCTTCCGAATTGAAAGTGGCGGTCGGGTCGAGAGCCGTCGGCGCTTTTGAGCTTTGTCTCTGGTTAAAATCCTTGCGCACCTGGGTGAAAGGGCTTTGGTTTGCTCGTCACTGAATTCGCGTCGCTCTTTATGCTTTCGGCTTCGACCAGTACCAACAGACAGAAGAATCAAGGACAAACTTGAGTCTCAGGAATTCTCGATGGAAGTCAGAAAAAAAGCGAATTTTATTTGACAGAAAAATAAAAAAAAATTATTCCTCGCCTTTGTCCTCTTTTAAAATTGCCTTAAGAGGCTGAAGGAATCTGTTTATAAAAAAATCGCTGTCATATATTAAATCAAACTTTGGTTTATTGTTAAATTCAAGAATAGTTCTTAAAATTCAAAATCTAGGACTCTTAAATCTAATATGTAAAACTCTGCAAATCCTTAAAATAAAATTAACGCATAAAATTCACAGATTTATAGTCGAATTTAAATAAACAGAAATCAGCGGATCGAATTGACAGTTCGAGATCGACAGGAGCGGTGCAACTCGACGCTCGAAGGATCGCACTTTGGAAAGGACACCCTGCTTTTCGCAGTCCAGCAATGTTCTCGGGTCGCCGTTTGTTGCTAAACGGTCCACCCAGTGGTCATTGTCGCTATTGTCTGCGGCCGACAAGCCGCGAGCACGCGCGATTTCGCAGGACGCTTCTCTCCTGACTAGCTCCACAGGACAATGAGGGAGGGATCCAGGCCGGTTACACGCAGGGTCGACAACGACGTTACAATGAGAAGGATCTTATAAAACGTTCGAACAGAACGTTTGGAGCACAAACGAGCTTTCAGGCGTGCGCATAGGACCCTTAATTTCGGCTGCAGCGAAATCCTCCATAAATAAACTGTTGTTATACATTGACGTGATGCTATTCACGTTATTTATATATAATACGATTGTAAGAATTTAGTTATAGAAAAATTAAATTAGATTTATATCACACACGTAAGATTTTTGAAGAAGAATAAGAAGAAAATTACTTTTAGAATCTCTGATGCATCTGCATGTCCTGAAATCAAATAAAAAAATTTGTCATAATTATTCTTTAATATATTCTTTAATGAAATTTTTAATTTAATTTTTTCGTGCAAGCAAAATACAATCGTAAACAGCGTAAAATCTTGTAGGCTGTAGAGAATTTAAAACATATAAATGCGACAACGGCAGGGACGACAGCGGCGTAACAATGGATAAGGACGTTGTAAATGTCCGGCAAGGAAACGCCGCTCGCCCCCATTGTGGTGACAATGAACAGAAAGTATTCCAGATAGTCGAGCGATCGGAAACGCGTGCTGCTGAATGGTCATCGCGGGGATTACACGCTCATTCAGACACGCGGTGCAACACGCGTCGCTGGACCTAGCGCGATTCTCCATCGCCTCTTTTACAAAAATGTAGACATTCAGGAACGAAAGGAAAAGCGACTTAAAGCTCGAGCACGCCGGATCAGTCGATTAACCCTCCTTGTACGGTTGATCTAGAGCCGGTCTCCTTTCCCGTAATTCTTTCCAACGGGTGCCTTTATCCTAGTGGAAAAGTGGACTAATTATTTCGTATATTTAATTTATTATTTAATTTATTATTTCATATATTTAATTTATTATTTCATATATTTAATTTATTATTTCATATATTTAATTTATTATTTAATTTATTTCGTATATTTAATTTATTATTTAATTTATTATTTCGTATATTTAATTCATTATTTAATTTATTATTTCGTATATTTAATTTACTATTTAATTTATTATTTTATAGTGGATTAAATTAATTTAATTTCTCACTGATTTAATTATTTTTACGATAAATTATTCATATGTGTACAAGTTTTTTCAAGTAATAAAATGATAGTAATCGTGTGATAAGCTAGCGAAATATTTAGTTTCGGGATTTTTTAGGGAAATTATTCTCACTTTATTTTATTGCGCGAAATAATAATCAAAGATAAATAATTAATGTTGTAAAATTTGTAGACGAGATCACAATTTTTTCTGAGCCGGATCACAATTTTGCGTGCATGCCATTATTCGCAATAATACGTCATCGGGCGATTCTAATCTCGCCTAACGCGGTCACTTTATTGGCGGGATTTCCAGATCGTGGAGCAGCAGCGCGTGCCGATCAATGAGCGCTGCGTGGATTATAAGAGCTGGGTGATTCGTTGTCGACGAGGCACGTGTTTCGCGGTAACACGTGCCTGCTCGACGACGGGCTTTACGAGGGCTTTACCGGACTGACTGACGGAATGGTTCTAAAGGGCCCTTTTTCCGTAGCTCGACATAACACGCTCGCCCATTCGACGTTTGTATGCTTGAGCAAATTTGATATCTATTTACGATAAAAAATTATCAAAAATAATGCCATAATATTTCACTTTCTTTATCCACATTCGAAAAATAGACCGTACAATTAGCCTGGATTATTTTAAATATAAATTAATATTTTTGATATTTGATATTATTAATAAAGTTCCTTTGAAAATTACTTAAGAAAGCGGCGTTTCATCCGCATCCTCTGATCTTGCTTGAGCGAACAGCCTCGTCCCATTCACGATCGTGTTCTCGAGAATGAACTCTGCGCGCGTCTATATTTACAGGACTTAATGCGCGCGATTCGTATGCGCCAGGTCCCGCGATCGTAATAAACTGCGCGGTGCTTTTGGCATCCGGTGTGTGCGAAGGAACTTCGGACGAAACGGCAGCGAAAAAAATTGGAAATCTCGTCGAACCACTTGGATTCGATGCAACCGACCGGTAGTTTGCGAGAAATTAGTATGCGCGAAGTCAGATCTTCTTTTTTTCTCTCTCTTCAAGGGGATATCTGAAGATGAAAGAAACTTTAGGATATCCGGAAAACTTGAAAAATTCTCGAGAGATTTAAAGAATTTTTTTCTTGAAAATTTATGTGGAAAGCAAATTTTTTTTCCGTAAATGTGTGAGTTTAGTATAACTATCTACGGTCACGCGGAGTTCACTTGATGGAATTATCGTGCGTTTTCATCATTAATGCGATTTACTGCGGTAATGAGCATGATATGACACTTATACACATGTTTATTTATTAATATTTATTGTCGACAATTTTTCTATAATTTGATCAATATA